CGGGCCTCACGCCGAGTGCTGTCCGCAGCTGACCGCTGTAAGGAGGTGCAGCAGATCCGCGACCAGCACCCCAGCAAGATCCCGGTGAGTCTCTAGCCCCCCCGGCCCTGGCCTGTCCTGCCAGGCCCCGCCCCTGGCTCACGAGTCCCCCGCCCACTATGCTCCCAGGTGATCATCGAGCGCTACAAGGGTGAGAAGCAGCTGCCTGTCCTGGATAAGACCAAGTTTCTGGTCCCAGACCATGTTAACATGAGCGAGTTGGTCAAGATCATCCGGTGCGTGGGCAGCCTCCTGAAGCCCTTGGGTGGGGTCAGGGCCAGGTTCCACTCGGAAGGGGTGGAGTGGGGCAAGGGGACAGGATATAGGGCATCCAGCCCCTGTTCTAGGAGGCTGGACAAGGTCAAGGTCGGGGTTGGAGTGAACTTCTACAAAGGTGAGAGCGTCTAGCCCGGGCTGTGTTGGTTCAAAAGTGGAGATTCGGGAGGGACACCCAGGCCCCCAGCAGGCGACCTCCTCACCTGGCATGCCCTCCTGCCTCTGCAGGCGCCGCCTGCAGCTCAACCCCACGCAGGCCTTCTTCCTGCTGGTGAACCAGCACAGCATGGTGAGCGTATCCACGCCCATCGCTGACATCTACGAACAGGAGAAGGATGAAGACGGATTCCTCTACATGGTCTATGCCTCCCAAGAAACCTTTGGCTTCTGAGTCAGGAGGAGGGGTGGGGGATGGTTGGGGATTCTGGTCAAGCTTTCTCCAGGGAGGTCCTGGCTCCTAAGCTGAGCTATTTCATTCCCGAGTGGGTTAGGCAGAGATGTGAACTCCCTACCCCTCCCCTGGTGGGGGACACCAGCCAGCCTACCATGCTCTGGTGTAGGTCCTGCCAGTCACGTTAGGGTTGCTCCTCTGGGTACTGGCTCAGTTGGGAGTGGGTGGGGAACAGCACCCCTGCTGTGTGGTTTGTCTTTTTTTTTTTTTTTTTTTTTTCAGCCCTTGCCTGTCTGCCCACCTGTCCCTTATCCACCTGAGGCATTTGCCTCCTGCCAGGACCTGCCCATCTCTGAAAGGCTGACCCCGTTGTCCTGACATGGTGTATGGATCTGTGGTCATTTCCTCAGCAAAATAAAGATTGCTTAGGCCTGCCTGGCCCTTTGCCTCCAGCTGCTTGTTTGGGAGTAGGGAGGGCTGCTAGGTGACCGTCTCCACATACTTGTGCCAGTCAGGACACAGGCTTGTGTTCTATGGACTTGGGTTTCCAAAAACCTACTTCTTAGTACAGGATACTCTGCAGTATTAGGGGCCAGATTCACCCCACTCCAGGAATAGATGGCATCAGAACAACAATGAAAAAACCCACACATTTATTAAGTAGCCACAACCTATAAAGCCCTGCTCACCTGCAGGTTTCCCCTTCCTTCCTGTGCAGTCACAAAGTGGGAGGTCCAAGTGGGGTGCTCCAAACTTCTCCCCCTGGGCCAGCTATGAGTCCCCTATGGTACCAGAGATTTGTAACCCTGGATTTGAACCTCTTCTGCCTGAGGACTCGCCTGCTGGCAACTCTGGATAAGGGACCTGGCGGGCTCCTGGCCCTTCCCCCTCTTGTCCATGCAGTTCTGTGCCAGCCAGGGCTACTTGAGCACAAGCATAGCCTCTGTGCCGTCCTTGGCAGTCAAATAGAGACCATGTGTGAGGTAATACTCCCGTCGCAGGAAGGCATAGAAGTAGTCAGAGATGAGCAGGATCTGGCAGGGAAGAGAAAATGAGAAGCCATGGGGTACCTTAGTGAATAAGTCCCTTTGTGGGGTTAGACAGGTACTATGAAATAGTTCCTGCCTGGCATCTCTCATCAAACCCCAATCTATAAGCCTGCCCAGGGATCTCCTTCCCTCTTGGCACAAACCTAGCCCTGAAAGAGCTCACTGGCCATCTGACAGCTGCCTGTATTTTACTTTCTGCTTCCTACTCCTGGTTTACACCTCTATCCTAGGGAATCCAGATCAGTGTTCTACCAAACAGTGCATGCACCTTGTCTCTTCCCACAGGCATCCCCCATCCAGCCTCCCTTGTCAAACATCCCCTGTCCAGGGGTTCAGGACACAGACTTGCCTAGTATTTCTCCCATACGTACATCCCAGAAATCTACTTTGAAAATATACAATTCCACCCATCCCTGTAACAACCCCCACCAAAGTCACTGTTGTCATTTAAACATTACCAAAACAGCTTCCCAGGGATCCCTGCTTTGAAACCTCCTGTGCCAGTCAGCCAGAGGGAGCTTTTCTTTTTTATTTTTTATTTTTTTGTTTTGTTTTGTTTTGTTTGGGTTTTGGTTTTTCGAGACAGGGATTCTCTGTGTAGCGAGAGCCTATCCTGGCACTCGCTCTGGAGACTAGGTTGCCCTTGAGATCCGCCTGCCTCTGCCTCCCGAGTGCTGGGATTAAAGGTGTGCGCCACCAACGCAGAGGGAGCTTTTCAGACCACAAATCTGATCATGCTACTACTTGACTTGAGTTTTCCCAAAGGCTTCTCATGCTTCAGACTCTTGGAGCTTCGTGGCCTTGCACCTGGTCCCTGCTACATGTTACATCACTTCCATGTGCTACCTCTCTAACCACAGGTCTTTGCTGTTTCCTCTGCCTGGAACATTTGCATCTGTCGATACCTACTTGCTCTTCAACTCGGTTGCAGGCTGACTTTCCCCTGGGTTAGGTCCTAATCCCTTAACCTCTCTGCTGACATAAAGTCCTTCAAACTGCAACTTTACATCCAACTACGTGACACTTGATGGTAACGCTGCTTCTGCTAAGGATGGACCCTGAGTGCTTCTGCCACAGTGGCACTTATCTGCCACAGCTCAGTCTGACCAAAAAAACCAAAAGGGGCCGAGAATTCCAGTTCATTCTCACCCTAAATGGAGCCTGAGAGAGGGACAGGATTTGTCTCACTTGAACACTTGACCCCAAAGTCTACAACTCTAGCCCAACATGCCCAAGACTGGAATAACTGGAACTGACATGGAAGTGCCCCACCTCATCAAAGGAAGGCAGGCACACTATTAGAGACACCACAGTTCTCAAAAGTTTAGAGGTTCTCAGTACCAGCAGCAATTATCTCTTAGCTCAAATGGGAGACAGGCCTAGAATGTGGCAGGCATTCAGTGAGAGTCTTGGGGCAGATCAGAGGTTAAATCCGGGGTCCAAGTCTCCAGAGCCCTGTCCTGGGCAGATATACATTTTTCTGAAGGTAGAAAAGCAGCTAAGAAGATCTTGGAGGGCCAAAAGCATTGATATTCAATTGGACATACACCTGCCATTATCTCATTGGAAGGCTAATGATCTATTTTACCAATAGAAAAATTGAAGCTTGAGGCATTCAATTAGTTGGACCAAGGCCATAACTGGAGATCTGGACTACTGGGCATGCGTCCTCAAGTATGTGATGTGCCATGGGCCCTGTCCATAAAAGAACACAGCCCTTGGCCAGCCTGGTCGTATCAGCAGTTATTGAGCTTGGAGCCCAGGGGTTTTCCCACCAGACCCTTAAATGTTCTGTCTGGGAAAGGGAAACCCAGTCCCTGTGCCAGAGTAGGTGAGAGGCAATTGCAAATCCAGAATTCACATGTCCCCACAGTGATGAGCTGGCTAGGTCAAGGGAAGGCAGATCAAACTAAGTTATTAGGTTGAGCCACATCTGGAAATAACATTTTTGTTTGTTTTGCAAGTCAGTAATGTTGGCAACACCTGGGTGGTGGTGGCTCACACCTTCAATCCCAGTGCTCGGGAGGCAGAAGCAGTCAGATATTTTTCAAGGCCAGCCTGGTCTACAAAGCAAGTTCCAGTACATCCACCAGGGCTACACTGAGAAACCCTGTCTCAGCCAGTAATATAATGTTGGCAATTTTACAGGATCCAATTAATGTATATGGGAAGAAATATACAAATATTAAACATTATTCAGAAGAACCTGACCTGAAGAAATAACTATAGGACTCTAAGAGGAGCTGTACATTTTTTGTTGTTCAGTCTCTGTTGGAAATAGGATCTGCAGAGCCCAGGGTAGCTAAAACTTGGTACATGGCAGAGGATGACCTTGAAGGCAATCCTCTTGCTCCTACCTCTCAAGTGCCTGGATTACAGAGGGGCACCTCCTACCACAGGAGGAGCTCAAGAGCTATTCCTATAAACCTTAATTCTGTGCACCAAATTCATGTATTACTTGGATTAAAAATAAAAATTCAGGGCTGGAGAGATGGCTCAGAGGTTAAGAGCAGTAGCTGTTCTTCCTGAGGTCCTGAGTTCAATTCCCAACAACCACATGGGGGCTCACAACCATCCGTTATGAGATCTGGTGCCCTCTTCTGGTGTGCAGATATACATGGAAGCACAATGTTGTATACATAATGAATAAAATTTTTAAAAAATAAATAAATAAAAATTCAGGCCAGGCTGGTAGTACATATTTGTAATCCCAGCATTGGAAGGGGAGGCTGGAGAATTAGGTTTTTGTTTTTGTTTTTTTTTTCTCTCCGAGACAGGGTTTCTCTGTGGGTTTTAGAGACTGTCCTGGAACTCTCTTTGAAGACCAGGCTGGCCTCGAACTCACAGAGACTCACCTGCCTCTGAGGCTGGAGGATTAATAAAAGTTTTTTTGTTTTACTTTGTTTTTCAAAACAGGGTCTCTGTGTAGCCCTGCCTGACCTGGAACTCTCTCTTTTATGTAGTCTAGGCTGGCCTCAAATTCACAAGAGATAACCCTGCCTCTGAGTGGGGATTAAAGGCATTACACCTGGCTGACTACTGCATGTTCCAGGTCAGCGTGCGATAGAGTGAGACTGTGTTTCAAAACAAACCCCAAACTAAATGTGACATACATTTAGCATCAGCTTGAAATCACATGGCTGGCACATTCTGACCGGATAATGAAAACAGGGCTTGTCCTAGAGATTCTTTCTCTTTTTTATAGTTTTTAAAATTTTTCCTTTATGTTTATTTTACCCTACATTTTTGCCTGCATGCACGTATGTGCACCATATGTGTGTCTATTGGGATTGTTGAAGATTGTGAGTCACTATGAAGCATACTAGGAGTTAAGCTCAGGTTGTCTACAAGAGCAGCAAGTGTTCTTAACTGCTGAACCATCTCTCCAGCCCCTGGGGATTCTTTAAAAACAAAGAAAAAGAACAAGTCTCAGTCTAATGACAAGCATCAGACCAACCTAATTTAGGGGACCTGCCCAATATCCCTTAAGCCTGTCAAGGTCATGAAAAATAAAGACAAGGGATACAGAGCAGAGGACACTAGGGAGACACAACCAAGTGGTCCACTAGGTTGGTCCTGGAAGAAGGCGTGACTCCCATTCAGTTAATGGTAATGTCCTAGGGAGGGTTCTTACTTTAATAGAGGTCCTGTGTAAGATATTCACAACACAGGAAAACAATGAAAAATACAGGACTTCTCTCTACTATCTCTGCAACCTTCTATGGTTCCAAGTTAATTCCACAATAAAAGGTTTATCTAGAGAAACCAAAACAAACAAAAATGTGCTTTTTTTTTGTTAGGGTTTTGCTTGTTTAGGGGTTTTGTTGTTCTTGTTTGTTTTGAGACAGGGTCTCTGTATGTAGCCCTAGTTGTCCTGGAACTCTCTATGTAGACTAGGCTGGCCTCAAATCACAGAGATCTTCCAGCCTCTGTCTCCTGACTGGTGGTTACTAAAGGTGTGCATCATTCCATCTAACTTGTTTTGTTTTGAGACAGGATCTCTTGAAACCCATGCTGGCCTTGAACTATGTAGCAGAGAGTCCCCTTGAATTTCTGAATCCACTTCTACGTCCCATATGCTGAGGTCACAAGTATGTGCCACTATATGGTTTTATGTGGCAAGAGGGATTGAATCCAGGGCTTTTTACATGCTAAGCAAGAACTCTTTAAGAGCTATCTTCCCACCAGGTAGGTAATGGTGGTACACGCCTTTAATTCCAGCACTGGAGGCAAAGGGGGGGGGGGGGTCTGTGAGTTTAAGGCCAGCCTGGGTTACAGAAAAAGTTCAAGACAGCCAAGACTGCTACACAGAGAAACCCTGTCTCAAAAAAAAAAAAAAAAAAAGGAAAGAAAGAAAAAGAAAACAATCAGATAAGAAGCGGCAGCAGCAA